CACACACACACACACACACACACACACACACACACACAGTGTAATTACAGGCTGCAAAGTGAAAAGCATTAAAACTGTTTACAAAACAGCTCATAAAGTTTTAAAATAATAGGGGTATGTGTGCGTCTTTGTGTAATGTGCATGGCAAGGGTAAACAGTACACATTCTTTGTTCTTTCTTCTTTCTCTCCCACATCACCCTCCAGAATTTAGAGAACAGAGATGAATGAATGATGGAGCCCCTTTTCTCCTGCTCTGTGCTGCTTACGCCTGATTAGTTATGCATATTTATCTGATGCCAGTTTATTGTTGCAGATCAAAATACAGATCCTCAGGTGTGTGGGGACAGAGTGGCTGATGAAGCAGGCTGCTATCTAATTAATTTTACAGCAACCTAAATTCCCATAAAGAGCTTCCCTCCTGACATACCAGAGAAAGATGGGTTTTTTTTTATTGTTGTTTGTTTGTTTTTGTTTTTAATGACCCCTTTGCTATCTTTCAAAAGTCCAACCTAAGAGCTTTCTGCAGATGGGAGTTCCAAAGTGAGAGGGGCATTTTTTTCAACCCTTTCCAAACTCTCCTTTGCTGCACTCCCCCTCTGGATTTCATTTATTTACTTCCTAATGTGGAAGTAACCTCCAGCCTCACAGCCAATCAGTCTTTTTGCTTTGCAGGTTTAGATCTGCTGCGGCAAAGCCAAACCCCTGTGCTAGCCGCGCCAAACCTGGTCTTGACAACAGTAAGGCTAGTGACTGACACTCAAAAGGGGGCTCCATCCACTTGGGCGCCAGCTCGAGAGCCGAGGAACYGGGCTGGACAAAGCGACCAGCCTTGCCGGGAGGAAGCACCTTTTTCTCCTGGTGATTGATGGGAGACAGTTAGGAGCTTTTCGGGGGCTGGAATAGGCGGTTCTCCCACRCACCCACTATGAAGTCTTTGTCAGCAGAAAGGACTCTCCTGGGTAATGAGTGACATAATGCAGATGACAAATGACAGCTTTGTGGTTCATTCTGCTTGATAGTTACTCAGTATCGTGTGCAGGTGAGTTCATGCTCCCCCTACCTGCCCCCCCCCCCCATGCCAACCCTTCCCATATGCAGACACACACCTAGGCACTGTGGTTTCTCAGGCACAATCATCAATCATGAGTTTTGTTGGGGATGTTTAAAGTCCTGCTACAGGGTGAGCAGGGATGATATGCTTACCACATTTTATGGAGCTGATTAGGAAACGGAGATATTATCTGAGTCATTTATTAGCAGTTTTGCATGTTTCCTCCTGTTCCTTTGGAGAACAGAAGAAAAAGAAAAAAACCTGTAAAGTATATACACATATCTTGTACTGTTTCAAGAGACGACTTCAAATCAAAAATCTGTTTAAAAACCCTTGCTTAATGTTTCCTTTGTATTTTTTTTTTCCTCCCCCTTCTAGGACTCCATCTGCAGATGTTCTGAATACCTCTGAGTCTAGAAATTGATTATTCAACCAGGATACCTAATTCAAGGTATTAGCTCTTGTCAGAAAGCTTTTACGTTTGAGCTCTGTGCTGGAAATTACACTTTGGCAACGAATTGAAATAGGAAAAAAGTTGGACCAAGAATAAAAGACAAAAGTAAATTTGCAAAATAATCAAGTGCTTAAAAAAAAAAAAAAGATCCAACGCTTATGAGGTTTGCTACTTCTGACTCATGAACAGCTCTCTGCCAGTTTATGTGCCAGGTCTGACTTATTTGTAGCCCTTTTTCTGTAACCGTGTTTGGGGTTTGGATTTCATTTTTAAGTCTCTCCCTCTCTCTTTTTTTCTCTTTCTCACTCCCCAGACTGCCAGAACTCAGGAGAGTGAGACATTTTGCCAGTTTTGAGACATTGGACCAAATACAATGAAGTATTCTTGCTGTGCTCTGGTGCTGGCTGTCCTGGGCACAGAATTGCTGGGAAGCCTGTGTTCAACTGTCAGATCCCCGAGGTTCAGAGGACGGATACAGCAGGAACGAAAAAACATTCGACCCAACATTATCCTGGTGCTGACTGATGATCAGGACGTGGAGCTGGGTGAGATGCTGGATTCTTCACTTTGTGAAGTCTCTTGTTCAAATGATTTCAGAGCCTCAGGCTTGCCAGGGACACTCAGCCAGCATTCTGGACGTTTGCACTTATATAGGGTCCCTTCGCCAACAGTCTAGTTTATACAGTGAACTGGTAGATTCCAAACAGCGTTTGGTTTGTATTTCAACCTTACTTGTCTGGTGGTAAGCTTTTGAAACAGTCAGGGGAGGGGCCTTACCAAACAGAAGGACAGATGAGGAGAATTAGCACTGATGATCTAGAAGTCAAGGATTTGAYGATGCACCTTGGAAACTCTAGGTCTAGACATTTATAAAATATCTGGGCAAACTTGTTTGAAAGAGAATTCGAATTCTGGCAATAACTGCAATGTCTATGAAAATAGATTGATCCTAAAGGAACTTTCAATGGTTAATTTTTGAGAGTGGAATTACTTATTCCCACAGCTTGTTACAGCAATTATTAAGTAATTGAAATGTACCATGTTCTACATATCCATGTGGTAATTCACCTATTACTGCTTTACGGATAGTTCTCTTAGAATTAGCCCACCTGGGAAAGTGAGCCAAAATCTAGCAATTTAAACTTATCTTCTGATTGATTTTCTTGTCTTCTTGCCTTATTTATTTATTTAATTGGTAWTGAATTTGGCCTGGGGACACTTTACCATTGAACAACATCCCCAGTCCATTTTGCTATTTATTTTGAGACTTTTTATTTTAGTGTCTTACTAAGTTGCTTAAGGYCTTGCTAAGTTGACAAGGCTGGCCTCAAACTTGCAATCCTCCTGCCTCAGCCTCCCAAGTGGCTAGRATTACAGGTGTGTACCACCATGCTGGGTTTTAGGCCTCCTTTAATGGTCCAGCCCTAAGGTCTTGTCCATAGTTCTATGACTAAGATCTTCCAGGGTATCTTAAGATAGATAAAAAGCTGCTCCTCAGCTTGTCACCAGATCTTCTCATTTCCATTCCTGGACCCACCCTAGATCCTTACTGTGGGACATCACTCAGCTATGCTTACCCATCACATTCAACCTGACCATGGGTAACATCTTTCAGACGTGGTATCAGCAGAGGGCTTTGGACCCGGGATCTTAAGGATACCTCCATGCTAGAACTTGGTCTGCATGGGTGGAGACTTTGATTTCCAGTTTGAAACTAACCCATGAAATCTCAACAAAGTTAACTCCCGAGATTCAACTGGAAGCAGATGCACTAAAAGCCAGCAGGGGACAAAATTGTTGAAAATTCACAGCTTGCTATCTACTCTCTCAGTTTATTTAATAATTAATATTAATAGAGTTTTGATTTTTCAGGTGAAAAATGAAAAGCTCTTGTACATCCAACTTTAGAATGGATGTAGCTGTTGGCTTCAACATTCTCCTTCACTTATGGAGCAAGGAAATGCACGACATTCATCTGGTTTCTGCTTCCTTCACATCCCTCCCATCCATTCCTTTCACTGCAGCTGGGATTAGTGGAGGCTCCCCTTGGCCCCATTTTGCCCTTGCTGGCTGATGACCTGGCCTCTGCCCTCCCCAGTCTTGGCCCAGTCTTCACCCGGTTGAGAGTATCTGATCAAGTCTCCTTTCTGGTTCCGCTTTGCCAAGGGAAGTCAGTCTCTCTCTCTTCTGCAGGCCAATGAGTTCTGGGCTATATCCATCCCCTGCTCTTTCTAAGGGTCTCCCCCTACCATTTCATTCTGTGCTTCATGGAACAACTCTCACTTCGCTGAAGATGTCTGGTGGCTTCATTTCTCACCTCTGTCCCTGGTGCACCTTGCCCCTACTCCCTTTTCAGGTGGAGAAACTCTGTTCTTCATGACACAGTTCAGGTGCCTCCGTTTCTGGTATAGTGTCCGGGCATCAAAACCACCCTGCTAAAGGGGAGGGTGGTTTTGATGCCCCTTGGACATGCCTCCGGCATGGTCCTTCTTCATCATCTTCCACGTCTGTCCCTTCCATTTGGCTTAGAGTCACTAGAGGGCAGGTGCCAGGTTTCTGTTCTCCCGACTGAAAGGCTCAGGGGTCACTCCAGTTGAACTGGGCTGACTGGGCTGTACAAAATAACCACACAAGAGACACAAGTACCTTTTTCTTTGGGGTCGCTGTGACGGCTCCTCTGACCTTAAGGGTTCACAGGAAGAGAGAGAGAGCGRGAGCATGCGCTGACCCCTTTTATTGAGGAGAAGCTATTCAAATGAGGCAAGGAGTCAGGCTTCAGGGGGCTGAGTCTATCTTCATGATGTCCACTGTCAGCAGGTGACTGACACCTGGGTAGGCCACACCCAAGGGCACAGTAAGAGAAGGGGACACACACAAGGCACTTCCATGGAAGATTCTATCCTAAACAGGGCAAGGGGTTATGTTACAAAGGAACAGGTGAGCATAGCTTCACCCTGGGGCTGTAGCAAGACACACCCATGCATGAGGCACCGACCCTCGAACCCAAGAAGGGTGGGGAAAGCTCTGCCACATTTCTGTGACTGAGCGCCTCAGCACCCAGCTGGGGAGTGTGACTCAGTCARGTGCAAGGTTGGTCTCCCACAGGCAGGGGTGTGTTTTATGTTGCAGTCTCCATGTAAGACTATACTAGGAACATGTAAGTGCCAAAGAAACTTGGCACAGGCTCACAGGGGCCTGAAAAAGCTAACACTATTTTTAGGAAGGAAGAAGGTATCCATCACTCTTTACCTTTTCAACATACATCACTGTCTTATAAATCATGGGGCTATTTGATTAATTTATTTTAAAATACAATTCAGGTTTTTAGCCTTGTCTTATAGATCACATTTGTTCAGTAAATATTTACGAGTAGATACTAAGTAGTGGCTTCTGTTGGTACATGTGGATACAATGGTGAAAGGTTGTAAACCTGCTTCAGTCAACCCAGGTGTTTCCTAAACACTTGACTTTACCTCCTTCCTTGATTTTCTAGGCCCTAGATAGCACCCTAGGCCCCAGATAGCACACTATGCATTAGCTCATTTAATCTTCCTAATTCCTCTATGAAGTAGTTACTGTTTTCCTCAATTTATACATGAGAAAAATGAGCCTTAGAGAAATCAAGTAGCTTGTGAAGAGCTAGTAAATAGTGAATGCAGGTCCTATATGAGGTCCAAGTCGTCATGGCTATGTATTTGGCTATTTTCCTTTACATCAACTAGTCCATCAACAAGCATTCAGTGAGCCCTTCCTAAAAACCTGTAAATATATAATAATGCTCTAGGCTGTGGGAGAGAGATAACAGAATGTCAGACCGGCCTCATTTCCTCACTGGCATAAGAAGATGTAACACAGCAAACCATGGGTGCAAAGTTCAGGAAAGACTTCTCAGGGTCTGGCATGGTGGCGCATACCTGTTACCCAGCAGCTCAAGAGGCAGAGACAGGAGGATCACAAGTTCAAAGCCAGCCTCAGCAACTTAGCGACTCAGTCTAAGCAACTCAGTAAAACTCTGTCTCTAAGTAAAAAAATACAAAAAAAAAAAAAAAAAAGGTCTAGGGTTGTGACTCTGTGGTTAAGTGCTGCAAGTTTAATTTCTAGTACAAAAGGGAAAAAAAAAAGATTTTTTTAGCACAAAAAATCATGCTTTTGGTAGTAGATAGCACTTGATGGAGACCTGTGCACATCTTTTTTTAATACGCCCATAATCCTACTTGCATCCATTGCTCTGCATTTTGGTTGTTTTTAATTTTTGTCATTTTTACCATTTTCTAAGTGTAGCACTCAGTACTGTTAAGTGCAGCCAGCAGTGTTACTATGCAACCAAACTCCAAAACTCTTTTCATCATCAAAGCTGAAACTCTACATCCATTAAACAAGACCTCCCTTTTGTCCCCACCCTAGGCCCCAATATTCACCATTCTACTTTGTGGCCCGGTGAATTTTATTAGTACTCTAGGTATCTTACATAAGTGAGAGCATCCTATATTTGTCTTTTTGTAACTGTCTTATCCCACACAGTATAACGTCTAGACCCATTCATGTTGTGACGTGTCAGAATTCCCTTCCTTCCTAAGACAGAAGTGTTTCTTTGTGTGTGTACAACATGTACCATATTTTGCTCACACATCATTTAGTTGGAAACTTGAGTTGCTTCTTCCTTTTGGCCATTGAGAATAATGCTGCTATGAACACGGGTATACAAACATCTTCAAGAGCTTGCTTTCAGTTCTCTTTTGCAAAGGAAAYGTCTACCCAGAAGTGAAATTACTGAGTCACATACTAATTTCATTTTTTAAAAAATTTTTAGTTGTAGRTGGACACAATACCTCTATTTTATTTATTTACTTTTAWGTGCTGATGAGGATCCAACCCAGGCAAGCACTCTATCACTGAGCCACAGCCCTYGAGTAATTTTATTTCTAATTTTTTGAGAGACCATTTTACTTTTATCCATAGCAACAGCACCATTTTACATTCCCTCCAGCCATGCACAAATGTTAACGTTTCTCCACATCTCCATCAACACTTGTTATTTTGATTTTTGGTTGTTTTATAGCAGCCATCCTGATATGTGTAGGGTGGTTTCTCAGTGTGGCTTTTTATATGCTTGGGTTTGGTTTTGTTTTTCTCTTCCAAGTAACTTGACTTGCCAAGTGCTTTCGTCAGCCTTTGCTTATGCGAGACTTTTTGCACCTGTAACGCTGCAGGCGATTTTGACTTCTGTGATTCCAAAAAGCTATAACGGACTTAGGAAAGACATAGAAGAACAATTATGAAAATTTTAACTGAACACTTTTCTTACTGGGAAAGAATGAAGCAATTCTGTCTTTTGATCTGGAAAGACAAAGGCCAAGCAAGGCTGTAAACCAAACTTATGAAATGGAGCTGGGGAGGGAAGAATGGTCCAGCATGACTGGTGGCCACTCCCTCCAATTGGAGTACAAATAAAATAAACTGGTACTTTGTAAAGGGAGTAAGACACCTAGGAATTCATTAGTGAACATGCTAGAATGTGGCTTRTGGATGACACTCCATCGTTTTC